CACTTTCATTTAGCTCATCGACTTTGTTCACAAAGCACTAATTTGGTGAACCAATACTAAGGACAATAAGGCTCACAAGCTGCACTCCAAGGAATACAAGGCCACAAACTCCAAAACAAGAAGATGCATTTTCATCTGCAAATCCAACAAAATTACTATATCTAGGTTGGAGGTGAAGGAGCAGAGAGCACGAGAGAGCAATATAAAGGAATATAGAATTTGGTGAAGGAGGAGCAGATCCAGTGTAGTTACCTTAGATCTGGATGGAGCAGAGAAGCAAGGACGGTGCGCTGAAGATATGTGCGCCAGCGAGGTTGGTGGTGAAGGAACAGTGAGCATGCGAGAGGCTTCCTTTCGTCCGACGCTAGCAGGGTGAAACAGAGCAAGGGAGCAGAGTGGGGAATGGATGGGAGGAAGGTGTGGTAGGACCGTAGGAGTGTAGATATAGTTCAATAAATTGGTTGCTCCCATACCAGTGCCCAGTGTCTAGGGAAGTAGGATGCCTCCAACACATCAATTGATACTTGGATCTACTATCATTTACAGTTCAATAAATTGAACACCTGGTTAATCACCTTGCATTTAGATCAACAATAGTTGTACAATAGTGATAGATTTTAGTCTGACACATCAATTGATACTTGGATGTACTAGCATCTACATTTGAATATATTGAACACCTAGATAATCACCTTGCATTTAGTTCAACAATAGTTGTAGAAAAATGATAAATTTCAGTATGATACATCAATTGATACTTGGATGTACTGCGGTGAACTAAGCAACTTGCCAACTAACATGTCAAGAACTAATGTAAGTACAAAATTGGTGAAATAAGAATAGGAAGCACATTTCTTTCTCAAAGGTATGAAATCTTCCATCATCTTCGTTGGAACCCTGGCCATTTCTTCAATCTATGACATAATTTCTTCCTCCTCCTATAGATGTTCTTCATTTGTTGTAACATTGGCCTCCACCTTCAGCTCCCAAATCTTGTTACATAAATCTAAAATCAAAGTCTTCAGAAATTTTCCATATGGGGGATCCTGCCACTTAAAGAACTCACAATCTAAGTCGGACCACGAAAAAACCAAATTACCATAAGTATAGCAGGATTTCAGCATTTGCATTGCGAAAACGGAATGAACAAGAAATAAATCGACTTACATTATTTGCCCTGCAGCATCTGTGGTACCGATGTCCTAGGTTTCCATCACTCCACGAAATCCACCGAGGCGTCTTCGAGCCGCAGCGACACAAAAGTGGTGGTTGGTATGCGTAGGGGTTTGTTCTCGACACGGCACGGGATGAGCGGCCCCTTCCCGTTGTAGCCTCCTCCGCTAGAAGCCAGTGTTCTTCTCGCGACGGTGCCCTAGAATGGTGCCGACCACTGGGAAGAGTTGGAACTAGAGGCAGCCATGGAGCAGTCAGGGTTCAAAGTGTTGCACACTCTGAGTGAAGAGGTTGGCTTAGGTCTTTTGTCTATGCTTTTGCCTCCCGCCAAGGCGCCAAAACGTCCTTCAAAACGTTCACACTCCCGCCAAGATGAAATGCTATGTCACTGCCGGTTCAGGGTACTATCCGCCTGGAGAAGAAGGCATGTTTTGGATCCTCTGTGCTTACATAGAGGTGTACACGTGGACCACAATCAAGACCAACTGAATCAATTAATAGTTCAACCGAAGCAATAGTTCAACGATTATGCAATACTCATACATACTAATCCAGATGTTTCATTAGTACATATAAACTTCATTAACATAAAAGTTTCACAAATTCTAAGACTTAATGTCGGATGGGTAGGCAGTTGCTAAGGTACTCAATTGGTTGATGCGGTCCCGAAAGCCAGAGGTAGTGAACCGCAGCGAAGATGACAGCATCTCCATCCACGGACACATTGTATCTATAAAGTATGTCTACTTCCTGTCAAGTCCTACAAAGCACAAAAATCTCTTCACAAACAGGGTCCTAAACGATTCTTGTCAAATTTTGTGGTCCGAGAAGGTGACGAACAGCGGCTTCAACAATCAATAGTCGGTCCGGGTGAATGCTCCATCCCCAAGAAGCAAACAACATCATCTAGGGTCCTGGTGCCACCCCTAGCCGCTAAAACGCAAGGTTGCTCGCATTGAAATGGCTTCTTCCGAAGTAAGACATCTGTTGCAATGAAGAAATTCCTAATATGAACAAAACTGATACCGAACCCAAAATCAATTGGAACTAAATACAAACAGGGGCCGGGGGTGACCGAATCCATCTAACCTTCATGGGGCGTTGTCCACGACGATAATGCAAGGTGCTCAAGGCAGGGCAAGTATAGGCGATGGGTCAAAATGAAGAGCAACGGGTGGGGAGAATAAAGATGAAGGAACAACGGGTGGGGAGAACTAATGGATTCGTATTGGGCTTTTTTAGTTGGTCAAACCGCCGCTAAGGCACCGACAGGACCCGAGGGGAGTTGGGAATGGGCCGGGCGCTTCAAGGTTTGTTGCCAAACGGACAGTCCAGATTGATCGGCAGCGAGAACAGACGGCACGACATAAATTAAACATTGTCCGTATTAAACCAACCATTACCACACTAATCCAACGCTATAATACGACAATTGTCAGCAGTTAAACTGCTTTTAGATTCTCCTAGAAACAACCGCTACCGTACATGACAGTTTTTTTTCCATTTTCATTCATAAATATACAGAAAAACAAAAAAACATTCGTCAAGAGATCAAATCCGTGCACTAGCATTTTGGAAGTAGTATTCGAAAGAACTTGCTTTGCATTTCATATAAAAAAAAGGTGGCATTGAAGAGATCAAATATGTGCGAATATAATTTTTTTATTGATTCATTATGTATATGTAACATATAGATACAATTTTGGATGAGTATATGATTGTACTCGTCTAGAAGCATAATAACTAACCTAAACTATTAAAACTACTTATACTAACTATAAATTACTTAATCTAAACATATGATCACCTTTCTCGCTTGGGAGGAGGCGAGGTGAAGTCGGAATCGGAGTCGATGACGGAGGACTATAATCAAATGACCTCCAGTCATCGGAGGAGACGTCCTCCTCGGATGACTGGTGGGCTAGCAAGTCGTCCTCGCTAGACGATGGGCTGCTTGGAAACTTGTTGGGGCTGTCCGACATTTTCTTTGTAGATTAGAATAGAAGGGGATGATGGATGAAGAAGAGAGGTGGTTTCAGAGGGCACCGGGCTTGAAGTATATATAGAGCAGTGGGTACGGCTCTAAAGCTTCAGGAGGCGGAAGTAATGGTTATTTGACGTCCTTGGAAGTTGAGCCAATTTAACACTCACGCTGAATTTACCGTCGCTTGACCAAACGCTAGTTTATGGGCAGTGGACAAAATGCGTATCTCAATCGGCCTGGCTTTTCATGCGACGGAGCAAATGCAACCACGATACCACTGCCACATCTAACATTAACCCGTCGGTGGTTGAAGTCTGAACTGTTGGTTTTATTCCCAGGAGGCCTCGCCATCGTTCCAACCGTCGGTGGAAGTATCACATGGTCACTTCTATCACTACGGCAGTAAAAGTGGCGACAATGATAAATCGATCTGTACTAGTGATTCAAGTAAAAACTCTTGTATGTCATCCTTAGCCCACTGAAAACAACAGTAAAATAATTACTAATAAGGGTGTTTAGGAGACAAAGTATAACAACAGTAGCACCCAAAAATTGTGTGTGACTACTGACTAGATAATGCTCTGCTCTGCTCTAGTCCATTGAGATTACCGTGGAAACAGAATATTGTACTGTAGTAACCAATAATCACACTGACATCACCACAAATATACAGAAGAAGACAAAACGATTGCTCAAATATTTCTATACGTTTGCTATAAACATTTAATATTTTCATTATATGATTTTATGATTACTGATTACAAACATTGCTCTCAGTGCACAATTTATTCTCAAACCTCAGTTCAATATCTGCAACTAAAAACTACTCCATGCGCTGCAGCCCTGTTGAAGGACAGCAGTTCAGAAATCAGGTGAGAACAGTACATTTACTGAGTTAAAATAATATATTGTTGAAACTCCATTTCAACCCACATTTCAAAGTTGTCACCATCCTGGACCGTAAGGTGGAAGAAGGTGGTATGAATATCTGTACTAATGACATGATTAAAGATATAAATGCCATGGCCATGATGCCTTTGGAAGAAAAAAAAAATGACCAAACTTACATCCAGCTGGATGCCACACATCTGACGCCAAGTCAAGAGGGACATTATTCTGTCTCAAGAACTGAGAAGTGGGCCAACTTCCCCACCCTGCTGAGTGAGCTTCTGGTGGGGGGCTCATTAGAGCAATCATGGGCTGCTGGTGTGAGCTTCCCTATCTGGCACATTGCAGGATCTCTTGCCAAAGCATCACCCTGGGAATAGCAGAGCTCCTCTGACGATGCTTTGAGCGATTCAGGTTGTCAACTTGTCAAGGGGGCTCGAGCATCACCCTAGGAGCTGCAGAGCTTCCCTAGGAAGACAGAAAAACAGGGGGTTAAGGGGGCTCGAGCTTACACTGCCATGCCCATAGGCCATTGCAGATATCGGAGTAGCCAAGCGGCATCGAAGAGGTAGGAGTGCATTGGAACTGATGTGGCATCCGGTTGGACATAACAGTGAAACATGCCATTTTTCTTGGAACCAGCTCTGTACAATGTTCAATTGTAGATGTGATGCGGCATTTACTGAACTTGTAGTCCAACCAAAAGGAGGTATTTCAATTGTAGAGGCTCAACATTCACTACAACTTGTTTGCATATACAGCGATGTCACTTTGACAAAACCACATATGGAAGTATGTCCGAAGTTTTTCTCTATGACAGGGGAAGGATGATTGTCAGAAACCCCAACTAGGAGCATTTTTTTTTTAAATAACCAGGTTACCTTTTTTTGGAGAAGAGTTAAAGAGTAACCACTTATATTGGTAAAGAGGGAGAAGAAAGCAAAATGGCTAAGCACTAGCCATGAAGGGACCTAAACAAGGACAAAGCACACCACACATGGTTCCTCTGTCATCACAATTAATCATTGATTCATTGTAGTGGACTATTGGTGGTTTTAAAAACTTTCCAGATTGCTATACAAGTTGCATAATACCTTAAGCTGAGTCTACCACTCTACCATAAGTTTGTAAATTGTAACAAATATAATTTCTTGAAGCAAGTCTTATTCATGCTTATGTAGTAAAAATCATAACTATGTCACAGTTGATTTCTGCTCTAGATAATTTATTAGCATTGTAAGGATCAAGAAAGCAGACCTTTCCTCAGCGACGACTTTATCACTAGTGGCAAATACTGATTGCCATCCACGACCGATTGGAGAAGAAGAGTCATCACCCTCTCCTAAGACTCTTGTGTAAATCAGCCCACATTTCTCGAGCTTCTCCACAAATTCAGGGAACTTGTCCTTGACCTTCTGATAAACATAATGGCTCAACACTATAGGTGTCTCTCCACCACTCTTTGCTTCGACTTCCCAGAAGAAGAACAATTTGGACGGAAATGTTGGAGCCTAAGGAAGTGGATATGCTGTGACCGTGAGTTGGGGAATCTAGCCACAACATCAATGTCCCAAATGATACGATTTTTTGCATAATTGAAGTTCAATCATGTGAATTTGATGAGGGCCGGCCGACCGGAGGAGCAGGATGGGGGATGTTGACGGACCTGCGCCATCTTGTGGTGGAAGGGGATGCTCTGGTCGGGCGGCGACTCGTTGGCGGTGAAGACGCGGCCGACGACGTTGGTCCGTGGCGCCGCGCCGACGTAGGGCAGCTCCTCGTACCCGAACGCGTTTACGGCGCGGTCGAAGTCCGCGGCGGTCCGCTTGCGCGGGGAAGACAACGCCGTCGACGACCCACTGCTGCGGGACGCGCGCGTCCTGGAAGTAGCTCCCTGGTTGCGGCTCCATCTGGTGGTCGAATTGGGCGGCTGAGCACGATGCATGCGCCGTCGCTGCACAGCACGAGCGCCGAGGCGCTGGGCAGAGGGAAGAGGAGAAAGAAGAGCAACACGAGGGGACGGTTGGTGGCGATGATGGCGCTCTTTGGAGAAGCGACTGGCTAGGCGACAGTGTTCATGGAGAGACCTGCGACAGTGTCCAAGAGGTCCCGCGGCAGCGCGGTGGAGGCGTTCTCCGAGCCAGAGCCCCAGCAAAGCACGACGTCAGAGCCGAGGGCCGCGCAGGCGTGGGCGCTGAACCAGAAGAAGAGCGCGGGCGGCGGCTGAACCTTTGGTGCAGCAGGAAAGAGAGAGAGAGAGAGAGAGAGAGAGAGAGAGAGACCAGAGACCGGGAGGGAGTAGTGTGACTGGAGGGAAGTCTTGACAATTTCCATGCTTAGATCCACACGACAGAGCCGACAAACTGTCAAAATGCGATAGATGCGGACGACGGTGGCATGAGAGGAACAAAAGTTTTGACCAGTGTTACTGAAGACCGATAAACTTTTTATTGGCTCATATGTAATTTTGAACTTTTATAATGGCACAGGAAAAAGACTATTGAAAAAATGGCTTTTCTTAAAATAGGAAACACTTAATAATCAATGATAAGTAGTCTTACAGTTTATTATCCTTGGGTACATGCATGGGTGATTGGGTAGAACATCTTCACGATGTCCATCTACAATCTTGAGAAAGCATGCGCTCTTATTAGCAATCAGGGCAGCTTTGCAAGCATTGAATCAAGGACTTAAACCATTTGAAAGTCTTTTTGCTGATCCACACTAGTCTTTTCATATCCTTATAGCACTTGTCATCATTTCCACTCATGCCAATTATGTAGCTTGTTGGGCTCGTCGTTGTCATCATCATGCTCTTAGTGTTGCTATCCTCTTTGGTTTCACCTAATAGAGATAAATCAAATTATTAAAATTTGTTTGTGCTATAGCTTGAGGCTTGAGAAACATGTCTATATCAATGCCTGGTTGTTTAGGGCCAGAAATAAGAATAGTGAGGAGAATATACTTTCTCTTCTGACACAACCACTTTGGGATGTTGTACATGGTCAAGATCACTGGCCAAGTGCTGTGGTCGCTCATCCTCTTATTGAAGGGATTCATTCCATCGGTGCTCAAACCAAACCGTACATTCTTTGTGTTATCGCTGAATTCTTTGTGCTTCTCATCGATCCTTTGCTACCGACTACAATCAGCCGGGTGTGCAATCTTACCATCATCTACCTTGCGCTCATCATCCCACCATATCATGAGTGCGGCTTCTTTAGGGTTTAGGAAGATACGTCTCAAGCGGTCGGTCACTGGCAGGTACCACATTACCAAGGCAGAAATTCTTCTCTGCTTTGCATCGTTGCCTAATGGAATGTCCTCTAGGGGCTGAGATTCTTGTACCACCTTTTTCGTACCCTTCTTATTCCTCTTTTTCCCAGTGGAGGCTTCGTCCCCACCGTAAAGGTCATTGTTCTTGTACCGGCTGGCCCCACACCGTGGACATTTATCCAGTGACTTGAACATTTCGCCACGAAAAAGGATACAGTGGTTGGGGCATGCATGGATTTTTTTCAACCCCTATTGTCAATGGACTTATGACCTTCTTCGCTTGGTATGTGTTGGCGAGAACTGAGTTTGATTGTGGCAGCACCCTTGATAGGAGATGCAATAGATCATTAAAATTACAGTCTGATCAAACATACTTAACCTTCAGGATGAGTAGCTCAAGCACAAAACGTAGCAATATCTAGTGTGTCAGACAACCCTTTTCAACACCATACACAGCCTCCTTTGATGCTTTTTTTACCCTTTCAAAATTTTCTAGACCTTTCGGGCTCTTTACTAAAATCTCTAGTCCAAGTGCTCGAATCATGTCCTCCAAATCATCTTCATCCCTGACACGTGCTCCGCCATCATTATTGGCACCACCTTCGTCGTTACCATCCCAACCACCAGCATCACCACCTTGTTCATTGCCAAACTCGGGATCCATTCGTGCATCAAGCTCTACTGAATATTGGGACAGGGATTCTAGGGTTTCATCGTCGTATTCCTCCTCATCCTCGTCGTTAACAATAACCGTTTCACCATGATGAATCCACACTGTAGTCCTCAACAAATCCTTGCATAATCAAATGTGATCTGATGATAGTCATATTTGTCCATGCCATACGGTTCTTGCAATCTTTACAGGGACAAATAATTGTATCCTTATTATCTGTCAACGTTGTTGCATGCTTCTCTGTGGCTTCAATAAATTTATCCACCTCTTCACGAAAACCTACATTAAACCTTAACGAACCATACATCCAAGAGTTCCTGTACTCCATCTTTTACAACAACAACAAAACACACATTAAAGGACTACTTATTCAGATATATATAAAAATGAATCAAATTAATAATTACTTGAGAATAATTATATATACTTCATATATATATGAATATAAATCAAATATAATTACATGAAGCATACAAACACACCATGGTAGAGAAAAATTAATTAATGGCCTACTTATCCATAAATAATTAAAATACATATTTATTGATTACAATAAATAATTTTAAAGATAACAATTAGCAACAATTATATTTTACCCAATATCTTTCATGCAAACCCTAGTCCAATTTTATCAAACATAAATTTACAAAAACAAAATTAGTAAAAAAATCAAACCCTAGATCTATATCTAGATCTACATGTACATGAAACATCCATAAAACTAACTAATTATTCACTAAAATCAAGAAACATGTATCAAATAAGAGTATGATCTTGTTCTCCTACCTAATTTATCTTAGTACATTCAAAACTTAGGTCTAATTTGCTTCATAAGTAGCTCAAGCACCATAGAAGAGAGAGAAAAGCAAAACTCTAATTACTCACTAACCAACCATAAAAGCTTTAAAAAAGTGTGGAATAACATTTTCTTACCTTCTACAACCTCTCCACCAAAGGATTTGAGACCAAAACATTTCCCCTTAGTAGAGAAATTTTTGGGAGGTGTCCAAAGCCTCCCAAGCCTTTTCTCTTGGGTAAGAGTGGGTGACCCGAGAAGCAAGAAGGGGGCTGCAGCCTTTTGTACGTGCAACATTTGTAGGGGCGGCTGATGATTAAGCCGCCCCTATAAATCGCAACACCGGGGGTGGCTGGTGAGTGAGCTGCCCCTATAAATCGACCTATTTGTAGGGGCAGCTCGTATCACCAGCCGTCCCTACTGTGCCATTTGTAGGGGCAGCTAGTCTTATGGGTCCCGAGCAATCCCACTGTAGGGACGCCTCCATCGCCAGCCGCCCCAAAAAAAAAATTAAGCCGTTGTTATAAACCTTTTCTATAGTAGTGGGTTAAGATGCCGATGTGCCCTGTGATGCGGGTGTTGCCGTGTGAAGCGGTGTTGCATGTGTATTCCCCAAGACAAGTAGGTGGATTGCAGGCAAGGTGAGGTCAAGTAGTAGTTAGATGATTAGTATCCTAGCTGCATGATCATTAGCATGTGTAGTTAGAACGTGGCATTAGTTCTGGGTACTAATGGGCTAGGCGCCGGATGTATCTATTTGCATGTAATTTGAGTCTGTATAAGAAAAAATGACGAGAGCCTCCTGTTGGTGCGTGTGTCAAAAACTTGCTACCTTGTGCAGGTGTCTTTGTGTGTTTATCCACCAGAGAGCTCGTCAGTGTTAGTGTTAAACAGTTGCTGAGTTAGGGACAGATTCCCAACAGTCACGTCCAGTCGCCCACTGACATTGCTGGAACTTACCTTAGACTTTTTGTTCCTCGCCCCTCACCTGTGATTCCTCGGTCGGAACTCGGAAAGAACTCTTAACTTACTGATGATCTTCTTGATGGTGCATTAATTGTATATAGTAATAAAACTTGTGTTATGAACAGCTGCTAGTATTTTTGGATCAATCTGACTAGAACTAGTCGATATATTTTGCCATTTAGCAAGCCTAAGCATCCTGGGAGACTGGTGAATTGTATGCAAGTCTTTGTGCATGTACAGTTTTGTGTTTTAATTGGGAGCATAATCCTGCAACCTTTTCTCTTTTGCCACCTGAATAATATTGCAGCAACACCAGTGCGTAATCTATACAAATTTTGGAAGCCTATTATATTTCAATATGCTTAGACATTCGCTGTAGAATGCACTCTTGGGTTTTGTTTTTCATTTGGCCATAATATTAAGGGGGCTGAGAGGTGGGGGGTGTTCTAAGGCAGAGTCTTTAGTGAGAGGTTTTGGATGCGCAAAAGGCTATCTCTCTCAAGATCACGGTGGTAAGTGACCCCATGGAAGTGGTTTCAAGTCAAGGATCTCAAAAAAGTTTAATTGTCGAGATAAGACTTTAAACAGGCTTGAAAACAACACTGGATGATAGCATTGATCCTCGACAGATAGTCCAAGGGTACTATTGCTGCGAAAATTTGATCCACGTGACACCACGATAACTATCGTTCTTTCGCGATGACGAGCGACTAGTTTCTCCTCGACAAACTAGCAAAGGGGTTCTCAGTTTCGTGGAGGAGATCCGACCATATTTCAGCACAAAATGGAGATTAGGGTTCGGTATGTACTACTGTCCAAAGCAAAAGAAAATATAATGCTGAAAAAAATAATATATTGATAATGTCAATTGGCTAGAGGGTCACAGGCAGTATATACTCGGTATTTACACATAAGTGGGTATGCTATGGTCTTTAACAAACGGAGAAGACTCCTTTGCAAGCACAAATTGGATATAATATTTCTAATTCCTGATTAGTTTGGCCATACGTACATGTGTATTTAAGTCCAGCACTAGTACGTTCCTATTGTTGCTTGTCCTGGGGCAAAACATTATGTACAAATATTTTGTCCTCTGACCCTGTTGTAGCATCGGCAAAGCTTCCTTCTGGCCCCGTAAATTCCAAAGTTGATTCTTCCATTCAAATCAGTTACAGTTCATCAACAAAATTCGATTCAAAAATCTAAGTACCAATTAAACTAATTTGGCCAACTA